AGTCTTGTTTTGTTTTTGACATCAGCAGACAAAGGGTTAGCCATTGAGAATAGACTGTTCTTTGAATGCTGTAACAAAGGCTGTCATAACACATGTATATCAAGAGCTCATCTTGCTGCCCTGTTTGCTGGAATCCCTCACTGCGTAGACCAGTGTCAGAGATGGGAAAGTCAACCTGGATAAGCAAAATGCCCACAAGGCTGTATGCAACCGCCAAACCCTCAATGGAATTTCTTAATAACTGGTCATTGAGAACAAGTTAAGGAAAAGGCTTGGGCTTTTAGATACAATGCGTTGGTGACAGAAACCTAATTTATGCTTCAAAAATAAAATACAGGATTGGAAAATAGGTTTTCTGGCCTAGAGCGGTGCTTCCGCCGGCCCCCACCTGCACAGAAGTGCCTGCAGTGACCCCTGGCCAGACGGAGCTGCAATTCTGTCCCTCCACTTATGCCCTTAATCCAAGCGTAATCTAGTGAGGGGAAGGGCAGAGGTCAAACTGGGCCTCCAAGACAACAAACACCAGAACTGGAATTCCATCCCTGTTCTGCAGCTCTGCCTCTCTTTCTGGGTGGACTTCTGACTTCACATTCGCTCTGGTTTTGGCTTACAATGAGGGACATATGCCACATTGACCCGGGGGAACATCTCCATTCTGCTTGCACTGAGGGTAGGCAGGACTGCCACATACGGTTGTGCAGGTCGTGTACTGCACAACTCATGGGAGCACCATTCACATCATAGCCTATAGTTGAGAAGCAGAGGTGCCAGGGGTGCTTGGGCAAGCTGATGACACAGAAACACTCTACTTAAAGGAAAGAAGGTGTTTTCTCTAGCGTGTTCTTCTCTGGTGCAACAGAGGTAAAGGAAGGGGGAACAGGTGTCAGGGAGCCTACAGGTGGTCACATCCCGCTGTCACCATTGATAAAGATGCAACTGATTTCCATCTGCCCAACTCTTGTTTTTTGGAAACAGGGTCATGTTCTGTCATCCACTTGCATTGCAGTGGTGCAATTATGGTTCACTGCAGCCTCGACCTCCCAGACTCAAGCGATCCTCCTGTCTTAGCCTCCTGAGTAGCTGGGACTACAGGTGTATGCCACTGGGCCCTGCTAACTTTTTAAAAAATTTTTCGTAGAGATGGGATCGTACTATGTTGCCCAGGCTGGTCTCCAACTCCTGGTCCCAAATGACCCTCCTGCCTTGGTCTCATATTCAGTCCATAACGTCCCGCAAAGGATTTTGAGATCCTGCTCCACAGCACCAACGTACACTTCCTATTGACGCACTTTCAGCTGAGATCACGGGTGCAAGCCCCCAGGCCTGGCCCTGTGCTCATGTTCTGCTTTTGGTATTTCATTAATTTTTTTTTTTTTGAGACGGAGTTTCGCTCTTGTTACCCAGGCTGGAGTGCAATGGCGCGATCTCGGCTCACCGCAACCTCTGCCTCCTGGGTTCAGGCAATTCTCCTGCCTCAGCCTCCTGAGTAGCTAGGATTACAGGCACGTGCCACCATGCCCAGCTAATTTTTTGTATTTTTAGTAGAGACGGGGTTTCACCATGTTGACCAGGATGGTCTCGATCTCTTGACCTCGTGATCCACCCGCCTTGGCCTCCCAAAGTGCTGGGATTACAGGCTTGAGCCACCGCGCCCGGCCTGGTATTTCATTAATTTTATTTGTTTTGTTTTATTCTGTTTTTTTGAGTCAGAGTCTCACTCTGTTGCCCAGGCTGGAGTGCAGTGGTGCTATCTCAGCTCACTGCAACCTCCGTCTCCTGGGTTTAAGTGATTCTCCTGCCTCAGCCTCCCAAGTAGCTGGGATTACAGGTGCCCACCAACATGCCCAACTAATTTTTGTATTTTTAGTAGAGACGGAATTTCACCATGCTGGTCAGACTGGTCTCGAACTCCCAGCCTCAAATGATCCACCCACCTCTGCCTCCCAAAGTGCTGAGATTACAGGCGTGAGACACTGTGCCTGGCCTGTAATCTCAATTGTCCTGTTTTTTGTTGTTGTTGTTCTTCCTTTTTTTAAAGCCCTCAAGAGCCAGGAGCAGACTGGGACACAAGGAATTTTGTTTACATTTCAGAATTAAGCGAGTGCTCTCCTGTTGCTACAATGAGCATTTCTCTTTCTTCTTTTGTATCACAATTAAAGATCATCTATTACAGGCCATGCAATGAGATGGGAAATACTGCCCCATCCGGTTCCTAACTTGTCCACAAACCAGCACAGGGGTCCGCTCCCCATCCCTGCCGCCTCTTCCTCTTCTTCCTCTTTCTCCCCTAAACCCTTAACAACCTTTCTATTGCAACTGTGAAGGACTCCTATTTGAGCACTTCAAAAACCCACCAAGAGCCAGACACAGTGGCATGCACCTGTAGTCCTAGCTACTGGGGAGGCTGAGGCAGAAGGATCCCTTGAGGCCAGAGAAGCATAGCAAGACCTCGTCTCCAAAAAAAAAAGAAAAACCCACCAAGGTCCAAGCATGATGATGCACACTGGCAATCTTAGCACTTTGGGAGGTTGAGGTGGGAGGATTGCTGAGCCCAGGAGTTGGAGGCCAGCCTGCACAACATAGTGAGACCTCCTCTCTACAGTTTTTTTTAATTAGCCAGGTGTGGTGGCACGTACTTGTAGATCCAGGCAGGAGGATCACTTGAGCCCAGAAGATTGAGGCTGCAGTGAGCTCTGATTGTGCCACTGCATTCCAGCCTGAATAACAGAGCAAGACCATGTCTCAAAGAACAAAAACAAACAAACAGAAAACCACCAAAGCACGCCACCTCCAAAAACCCATCTGTCTTTGGAAATGCTATCACCATCACTGTACGTACCCGATGTTGTATGTATTCACATGCTCAGTTGTTAATTTCTGTGCAATTCACCTGGCTAGTGAAATGTTACCTCTTCTGCGCAGGGCTCACGCTCTGTGAGCCTCAGCCATCCTTTGAGTAATTAACCTTGTCCTGGGGAACAAATAGTCCTAGATACACACAGCCTAATTTTTGCTAAGTCAAGCCAACAAAGGTCAAACAAAATGACAGCTCATGATGCCCCAGAGGCTTAAAAGTGTTCACAGAAGTCGAATGTGAAAAAAGCACAAGAGTTTCCAAGGATGGAGATGGACCCTCCAAACACAGAAGGGCTCTGTGCAGTTCCCCACCCTGTGCTATTGATGACCAAGACTCAGGCAGCTGATGATCACTTTCTAATACAGACACAGAGAGAGAGCAGCGCGTGAGACAGGGTGGGAGGCAGATGCCCACGGCCAGTGTGGGAAAGAGCAGCCCAGTGAGCATAGAGCCCAGCAGCGGCCACCCCGTCCTCCAAACCTGGTCAAATTTCCCTGGCGGGAGGAATGAAAGGGAACACACTTCTGATAAAAGAGGGGGGAGAATCTTGGCTCTGGGAAAGATCAGGATTGTAGTTATAAGAACAATGGCAACAATGGTAGGAACTCCTTTGCCTCACAGCTTCATTTTTGGGATGATTAAACTGAGGTTAATAATAGGACACAGAGCTAGATTGCGGCAGAAGGGATTGGGACCCAAGTGTCTCTAAAGCTCCATCATTGTTATTTTATTTTATTTTATTTATTGATTGATTGATTGAGACAGAGTCTTGCTCTGTCGCCAGGCTGGAGAACAGTGGTGCAGTCTCTGCTCACTGCAACCTCCACCTCCCGGGTTCAAGCGATTCTTCCACCTCAGCCTCCCAAGTAGCTGGGACTACAGGCATGTGCCAAACACCTGGCTAATTTTTGTGTTTTTAGTAGAGACAGGGTTTCACCATGTTGGCCAGAATGGTCTTGATCTCTTGACCGCATGATCCACCCGTCTCAGCCTCCCAAAGTGCTGGGATTACAGGCATGAGCCACTGCGCCCAGCCTAAAATTTTATTATTTTATTTATTTTTAAATTTAGTTTACTTTTATTGTTTTATTTCATTTTTTTTTCTTTTTTTTTTTTTTGAGACGGAGTTTCGCTCGTTACCCAGGCTGGAGTGCAATGGCGCGATCTCGGCTCACCGCAACCTCCGCCTCCTGGGTTCAGGCAATTCTCCTGCCTCAACCTCCTGAGTCGCTGGGATTACAGGCATGTGCCACCATGCCCAGCTAATTTGTTGTATTTTTAGTAGAGACGGGGTTTCACCATGTTGACCAGGATGGTCTCGATCTCTTGACCTTGTGATCCACCTGCCTCGGCCTCCCAAAGTGCTGGGATTACAGGCTTGAGCCACCGCGCCCAGCCCAATTTATTTCATTTTTTGAGATGAAGTCTCACTCTGCTGCCCAGGCTGGAATGAAGTGGTGCGATCTCGGCTCACTGTAACCTCTGCCTCCTGGGTTCAAGCAATTCTCCTGCCTCAGTCTCCCAAGTAGCTGGGATTACAGGTGCCCATCACTACACTGGACTAATTTTTGTATTTTCAGTAGAGATGGAGTTTCACCATGTTGGTCAGGCTGATCATGAACTCCTGACCTTAAGTGATCCACTTGCCTCAGTTTCCTGCAGTGCTGGGATTACAGTGCTCAGCCACCTTGCCTGGCCCGTCTACCTGTTTTCTTTTCTTTTTTTTTTAGACGGAGTCTTGCTCTGTCACCCAGGCCCGAGTGTAGTGGCACGATCTTGGCTTACTGCAACCTCCACCTCCCGGAAAGTGATTTTCCTGTCTCAGCCTCCTGAGCAGCTGGGACTACAGGCAGGCACCACCACACCCAGCTAATTTTTGTATTTGTAGTAGAGACAGGGGTTTTACCATATTGGCCAGGCTGGTCTCGATCTCTTGACCTCGTGATCCACCCGCCTCGGCCTCCCAAAGTGCTGGGATTACAGGCTTGAGCCACCGCGCCCGGCGAAAGTGGGGGAAGTTTACTTCTAAACTTCCACACCGCTTTCAGATATCATCCCAAGTCCTCCAGAGTCTGAAGTTGAGCTCCATCCCGCCAGGGGACGCTGCAGGGCTGCTCGCGTCGGTTCCGTCCGCTCTAGGCCGCAGTCCGCGCTCTCATCTGTATTTCCGCCCGCGCGAAATGAGTGTAGTTTCCTGGTCTTGCAGCTGTGGTCCTTTGGTGTCCCGCGCCATCGCAAGCCACCGCACGCCGTCTCTCGAAATCTGCAGACATCCTGATTTTTCCCGCGCTCTCTGCCACGTCTCCGCCGCCACTCGACGCCAGGACGCCGGGTAAGTCAACAGCGGGGCCCGTTGTCTGTGTCACTCTCACCATCCGGGGAAACTGAGGCCCCGGGGAAGACGGCCAGAGAGGTCAGGCCCGGCCTCTGGTGCAGTGCTTCGTCCCCTCTGCCGGAGTGAGCCCCCCGGGATTCGCGTGTCCTAGAGAAAGACACTGGCGGATGAGCCGCGCCTTCGGCCGCAGCTGCGCTGAGCCGGCCATGTGCATACATCAGACCCCTCTGTCCACGCAGCCACTCTGCGGGGAGACAGTGCCCCTGGATGACGGGAAACAGGGCTCGGTGACTTTTCGCTGCCCGCCCCCGACTCCTGGCATTGGAAGCCCCCAAAACCACTTGTCGGTTGCCTACAGCGTGTTAGTGATTGTGCCATGTTCTTGGGACTGTTAACTCATTTTCCCCTGAATAACTTTTAAAAGTGGTTGTTAGATGGAGTCAAAGAAGATCACTTTAGAGCTTTAGAAAAGATCAATAAATAAAAGTAGTTGTTAGAACCTCCGTTTAACAGGCCAGTTAGCTGAGGTTTAAATGGAAGACACTCCCAGGACCCTAGTGGGACAGTCTGGACTTCTGTCCCCGGGCCTTGTACTAAAAGCCCCTTCCCGGTGCTTTTCCCTACCTAGGTCTTGTGGGCTGTGCGGCTTGTCGGCCGGCTTCGCACCAGCCAGCGCCCCGTTCTCTCCTGCAGCACTCTGGTCTGCACCCCCTGAGGGGCTTCCAGTGTCCGGGGGTGAGTAGTATGTCCGTGTGTACGTGATGCAGCTTATGCGCACCTTCGGGACCCAGTAGAGGGGATAGTCAGAGCTCAGCCAATTCTGGGTTCTGAGAACTGCCAAAGCGGGTGCAGAGCAACGCTGATGTAGAAGATAGGGGATGGGCTTGGGGGTCACGTCCTGGCTAAGTTCCTTCATTCTCCTGAGGTTGGTTTTCTGTAAAGTAGAGAAACTGCAAAAGCTCTCTGAGGGCAGAGGCTTGGCTGTTTTTCTTGATTTTGAACCCGTGGTGCCTGGCCACGTGTAGATAACTCAGAATTGGTGGGCTGAATGTACAGCTGAGGCATTATTACCAGAAGTCGGTTTTCCTTTGGACTCTGGGTGGGGACACGTGGTATCTGTCTGTAAAGTGATGATGGCTCTCAGGGTCCTGGGTACCTTTCTCTTCCCTGGGGGTGACCCCCCCCCTGGAGATCTGGCAGTTAGCATGCTAAGGTGGGCTCACCTCCCCTTCATTGCCCCTGTATTCGAAAGTGATCGTGGGCTGCCCGTGCCCTGGTCATTGATAGTGCAGGGAGAGAAATCGCTGAAAGCACTTCCCCGTGTTTGGAGGGTCCACTCCTGTCCCTTTCAAACTCTGGAGTTTTCTCACATCTCTTTCTCACCGTCTTTCAGATGCCTCCTGGCACTTGGTGTCTGGTTATTACTGAGTGCTCAGTGCAAGGCTGAGCAAGGCTCATTGCAGGGGTCTGGGAGGCACTCACCAAGTTGTATGGGGGTGGGTCCCTGCCTCAGGGAACGAATGATTGGTGGTAGAGCCACAGCCACTGCGCCCCTGCCCCCCCCAGTCACACCCTGTGGCAATTACTGGTTTGATTGTCTTTGGCTCTTTCTATTGTGACCTTGAGGGCAGATATTTTATTGTATTTTATTAGAGACAGGGTCTCACTCTGTTGTCCAGGTTGGGGTGCAGTGGCGTGATCATAGCTTGAACTCCTGGACTCAAGTGATCCTTCCACCTCAGCCTCCTGAGTAGCTGGGACAGACAGGGCCTTGCTGTGTTGCCCAGGCTGGTCTTGAATTCCTAGTCACAAGTGATCCTCCCTCAGTCTCCCAAAGTGCTGGAATTACAGGTGTGAACCACCTCGCCTGTCTCAGTATCTGAGTCTTGATCTCTTGACTTAACTGGTGCTTGGCAGATGGTTGATTTTCAGCAGCTATGGAAAATAGGAGGTGGGCCAGGTGTGGTGGCTCACGCCTGTAATCTGGGAGGCGGAGGCGGAGGCGGGTGGATCACTTGAGGCCGGGAGTTCGAGACCAGCCTGGCCAACATGGTGAAACCCCATCTCTACTAAAAAATAGGAAAAATTAGCTAGGTGTGGTGGCAGGTGCTTGTAATCCCAGCTATTCTGCAAAGTGATGACAGGCTGCTTGTGTCTTGGTTATTAAAGGAAAAGTTGGTAATAAAGGAAAAGTTACAAGGTTTTCCTCTTGTGTAGAGGAGCTGTTGTCTATTTCAGACAGGGTGGCGTCCGGGCACTGTGTCAGTGACCCAGGGTGGGCGAGACAAGCTGTCAGTATGTTCATCTCCTGACACCCTGATTCCCCAGATGTGTTTTCTGTGGGTGAATGTAGTGGGTTCCTGGACTTGTCATAAGTAGTGCCGCATGCATCAGTTACATGTTGGCTTTTTCTTCCTGCAGGAGTGTCACACAACTGCTGCCCCATGCATGTGAGAGATGTCCTCTGGGACAGCATGGATCCTGAGGTTCCAGGTAAGTGAGGTCCTGACTGGTTCTCTAGAACTCAAGTTCTCTGCAGGCTGCGAGGCCAGAGGTATTTGGGTGCTGGGGAGTGGGGAGCAGGGACACAGGTGAAGGCGGCTTCCCTTTGCCCCTGTCTTTCCCCCCTCAGCAGGCAGGGACAGGTCTGGGCCTTCTTCTGCCTTCATGGGGTTCCTGCTGAGAAGGTGCTCCCTGAACTTGATTTGAGAGTCCCTGAGAAAGACGCTGTGATGTTGAGAGGAAAGCAGTGTGTTGGAAGGGACAGAGGGGGCCGCATTTCAGATTCAAGCCTGGAATCCAGTGGCCGGCTGAGTGGTGTTCAGTGAGCCTCAGTGGAAACAATGTCAGATAGTCAATATTGGTACCCCTCCAGCCCACTCTTTTATTTATTTATTTATTTTTGAGACAGAGTCTTGCTGTGTCGCCAAGGCTGGAGTGCAATGGCACAATCTCGGCTCACTGTAACCTCTGCCTCCTAGGTTCAAGCGATTCTCCCTTCCTCAGCCTCCCGAGTAGCTAGGATTACAGGTGCCTGTCACCACGCCTGGCTAGTTTTTGTATTTTTTGTAGAGATGGAGTTTGCCATGTTGGCCAGGCTGGTTTCAAACTCCTGACCTCAGGTGATCTGCCTGCCTTGGTCTCCCAGAGTGCTGGGATTACAAGCGTCAGCCACCATGCCCGACCTTTTTGTTTATTTTATTTATTTATTTATTTATTTTTTGAGACAGAGTTTCACTCTTGTTACCCAGGCTGGAGTGCAATGGCAGTCTCGGCTCACCACAACCTCTGTCTCCTGGATTCAAGCAATTCTCCTGCCTCAGCCTCCCGAGTAGCTGGGACTACAGGCGTGTGCCACCATGCCCAGCTAATTTTTTTGTATTTTTATTAGAGATGGGGTTTCACCACGTTGACCAATATGGTCTCGATCTCTTGACCATGTGATCCACCCGCCTCGGCCTCCCAAAGTGCTGGGATTATAGGCGTGAGCCACTGTGCCCAGCCCTATTTATTTTTATTTTTTTAATAGAGACGGGGTTTCACCATGTTGGCCAGGCTGATCTTGATCTCCTGACCTCATGATCCGCCCTCCTCGGCCTTCCAAAGTGCTGGAATTATAGGCGTGAGCTCTGACAGTGTGGGACAGGAAACACAGCAGCCTGGGCAACCTCGCCTCCATAAGACGTGTCTGGTCTTATTTTTATTTATTTATTTTTGAGACAGAGTCTCGCTCTGTCACCCAGGCTGGCAGGCTGGAGTGCAGTGGCACGATCTCAACTCACTGCCACCTCTGCTTCTTGGGTTCAGGTGATTCTCCTGCCTCAGCCTCCCAAGTAGCTGAGATTACAGGTGACCACCACCATGCCTGGCTAATTTTTTTGTGTTTTTAGTAGAGACGAGATATTGCCATGTTGGTCAGGCTGGTCTCGAACTCCTGATCCCAGGTGATCGACCCATCTCAGCCTCCCAAAGTGTTGGGATTATATTTCTGCCCATGTTTGCCTCCCTTTCAACTCCTGGCAGGGGGTGGTAAATGATCTCTGGGAATCATTAGCAGCACCTGTAATCTTAGGCTGTTAAGTGTGGTCATTGCCCTGTTAGCTGTTCTGTTCCAGGTAAGTCCATTGCCCAGAATGCTGGCATTGCCCTTCTTTCTGGGCTTGGCCTCTGCCCTTTCTGCTCCTGCATTCGAAAGTGATCATGGGCTGCCCGTGCCCTGGTCATTGGTAGTGCAGGGAGAGGAACTGCCGAGAGCATTTCCCCGTGTTTGAAGGGTCCACTCCTGTCTCTTCCAAACCCTGGAGCTTTCCCACACCTCCTCCCTCCCACCGCCTCTTAGATGCCTCCTGGTGCCAGGCGTCATCTAGTGGGTCGTGTTGCTCTTCTCCCTGGCTCAGGGCAGCTTACTGTGAGACATGAGGGAAGGGTGTGGGGTGATGGGTTTGGCTTCAAGGAGCAGAAGGGCTGGGTGTGGAGCTGAGGCAGGGCTGCTCTGCGCCTTCCTCCCGGAAACGTTCTCCGCCTCCACGCCTCTCCTTCCACATCCTTAGCCAACCCCCTCTACACCATGCTGACCCCGCGGAAATTGTGGCCTGACTTGTCTCCTGGCTCTCTGCTGTGGTCTTAAGGGCAGGGTCTGAATTTTGTTCCCTGCTTTGTTCTGTCTGCCTGATGGTCAGTGCTCTGACAGTGTGGGACAGGAAACACAGCAGCCTGGGCAACCTCGCCTCCATAAGAACTAAAAAACTGGCCAGGCCTGGCAGTGCTGCGTGCCCCTGTAGTCCCTGCTACTCAGGAGGCTAAGGCAGGAGGCTCTCTTGAGCCCTGGAGGTCAAGGCTGCAGTGAGCCATGGTCGCGCCACTGCACTCAGCCTGGGCAACAGAGTGAGACCCTGTCTCAAGTAAGAAATACAAGAAAGGGAGAGTCCCTCCATTGTAAGGAGATTGGGTTCATTGCATTTCGGGGCATTGGAGAAAATGCGGAGTCAGCACCAGGGTGGGCTTGGTGGGAGCAGATTTGGTGTTTTCCACCCCTTAGAGAACTCTGAGGTCATGCATTGGCGTTAGTTCCCGGCTCGTAATTCCCCTGCCTTTTGTGCTGGCCTTCATGGCTCCCCTGAGGATGACTGGTTCTCAGGTTGCCCCTGGAGGCATGGGGAGAGTTGTAAGATCAGGAACAAAGCTGGAGAGGAGGGGCCAACAGGAAGTCACTGATGCAGCTGGTCTACCCCATTGAGAGGTCTACCCCATTGAGAGGTCTACCCCATTGAGAGGTCGTCATCTTCCTGCTGAACATGTTGGTTAGTGGGATGTGTTACAACAAGTAATGTGTGTGGCTTCTTGTCATTGCAGGATTGTCAGCTGACCTCTGTCCTGTGTGCCCAGCGGCCCCAGCGGCCCCAGGTGACGTGTCTTCAAGAAGAGGCTGAACTGTGGTGCTTGTAAGGTCTGACTCCTGGGTGCTTCTCTAGAGAATGCACGGATGTTCAGGCTGCAAGGACAGAGGCTTTGAGGTCACTGGAGGGGAGGCAGGGGCTGCTTCCCATTGCTTGCCCCTCCACTGAGGCCCCCAGGGACATGTGGCCCCCCGTCTTTTCCTCCCCTGGCACTCTACTGCTAGATCGTGCCACTGCACTCCAGCCTGGGCGACAGAGTGAGATTCCATTAAAAAAAAAGGTGCAAGTTCTTAGACCCTGTCCAAGGCCTACTAAGTCAGAAGTTTTGGTGCTGCAGCCAGCAATCTGGCTTAACATGCTCTCCATGTGTAAGAATCAGAAGCAGCTGCTACGATTCTAGGCTGCAAACCTGGCCACTGGCTTATTTCCAGGTCTCTTAGTTTGGGCCCTTCCTAAGCTGCTGGCAATGCCTCCCCTCTCAGCTCACTTACTGCCCTGTTTTGCCCCTGTATTCGAAAGTGATCGTGGGCTGCCCGTGCCCTGGTCATTGATAGTGCAGGGAGAGGAATCAATGAAAGCGCTTCCCCGTGTTTGGAGGGTCCACTCCTGTCCCTTGCAAACTCTGGAGCTTTCGTACATGTGTTTATTCTCACCAGTGATGTTACCTCTTGGTACCTGGCTGTCATGCTCGAACTCTGTTGAGATGGAGTCTCGCTCTGTTGCCCAGGCTGGAGTGCAGTGGTGCAAACATGGCTCACTGCAACCTCTGCTTCCCGGGTTCAAGTGATTCTCGTGCCTCAGCCTCCCAAGTAGTTGGGATTAAAGATGTGCACCACCATGCCTGGCTAATTTTTGTACTTTTAGTGGTGATGGGGTTCCACCATGTTAGCTATGCTGATTTCGAAATCCTGGCCTCGTGTGATGCCTCAGCCTCCCAAAGTCTTGGGATTACAGGCGTGAGCCACCATGCCCAACCTGTTTTAAAATTTTTTATTGTCTATATTTGAAGTTTACAACATGTCATGGGACAGATAGAGATAGCACAGTGGTTACTGTGGTAAAGCAGACAGTCACTGTTTTTAGTGTGTGTGAGGAGCAGCTGAAATCTACTTGACAGAAATCCCTGATGTTGTGCGTGAGACCTCTAGGCTTATGCATCCTGTGTATCTGCTCGTTGGTGTCCTTTAACCTGCATCTCCCTATTTCTTCCCACTCCTGCCCATGGTAATCACCATTTTATTCTCTCTTTGTATATTTGACCTTTTTTTAAAAAAAAAAAACAACAACATTGCACACATAAGTGAGATGTGCACTGTTTGTCTTTCTGTGTCTAGCTTATTTCATTTAACATAATATTCTCCAGGTCCATCCACGTTGTAGCACATGACAGGATCTTTCTCTCTCTTTTATTTATTTATTTTTTTTGAGACAGGGTCTCCTGTCACCCAGGCTGAAGTGCAATGGTGCGATCACAGCTCACTGCAGCCTCTGTCTTCTGGGCTTAAGTGATCCTCCCACCTCAGCCTCCTGAGTGGCCAGGACTGCAGGTGCCTGCCGCCATGCCTGGCTAATTTTTGTATTTTTTGTAGAGATGGGGTTTTGCAATGTTGCCCAAGGCAGTCTCCAACTCCTGCGCTCAATCCATCTCCTTCTGCCTTGGCCTCCAAAAGTGCTGGAGTTACAGGCATGAGCCACTGTGTCCAGCCAGGCTGGAGTGCAATGGTGTGATCTCAGCTCACTGCAGCCTCCACCTCCCAGGTTCAAGTCATTCTCCTGCCTCAGCCTCCTGAGTAGCTGGGATTACAGGTGTGTGCTACCATGCCTGACTAATTTTTTGTATTTTTAGAGATGGAGTTTCACCATGTTGGTCAGGCTGGTCTTGAACTCCTGACCTCAGGTGATCCACCCACCTCAGTCTCCTAAAGTCGTGCCCAGCCAAGGGTCTTCTTTTTAAGGCTGAATAACACACAAAGTTCTGGGTGTGTGTGTGTGCACGTGCGCACCACATTTTCTTTTTCCATTCATCTGTTGATGGACACTTAGATTCTTTCCGTGTCTTGGCGTTTGGGAGTAATGCCACAGTGAATATTGGAGTGCAGATATCTTTATTAGGTGTGATTTGACCTTCTTTAAGTATGTGTCCAGAAGTGGCTGGGTCTATTCAATATACACTGATAAGCAGCACACAGTGGGCACGAGGATAGCATAGATGCCATTTCTGTCACGGATTGTCTGCAGATCCCTTCCTAGAGTTACGTTTTTCTTGTTCCTGAGACAGTAAGTACTAATTGAGGCAGCTGTGTTTGTGGGATGCTTAAGTGTTAAGTGTTCTCTGTCTGTTGCAGATGGGCCTGCTGTGTGCAGAGGCTCCGTGGGATGTGTTGTCTTCATAACAGCAGGGCGCTGGACCATGTGTCCCTGAGGTGAGATTTTTGGACTGTTGTCTGACATAGGTTTTTTTGCATCCTACAAAGTCATGTGCTTGTTCCCTGGGGCTTGGATGATGTAGGGGAAGCAAGGTGAAAGGGGTATCCTGTGGTTTCCCGTTCTGTCCTGCTGCAGGGCAGTCGCTCACATGCCTTCAGTGGCTGCTGCAGAAGAAGGGCCTCCCGAAATCTGCATGGGTAAAGTGAGCTCCCTGGGGGACCCTTCCTCCCCCAAGTGCTGGTGTGTCTGCAGTGTGCTGTGATCTGGATTAACAGTGAGTTTTTATTTCGGGGTGTGTGTGTATGATGTTAGGACCACATGCTCCTGACCTTTACCAATCCAAAAGCATTTCCATTTTTTTTTTTTAATGCTGGAAGTGTCTTTTGATTCCTTTTAGGGTCTTAGAAGGACCCAGTGGCCGTGGCTGGGGCTCTGCTCAGCTGGGCTGCTCTCCCTGCCTCAGACCATCCCCCAGGCTCCTGATGCTGTCTTTCTGTCCTTCCCTGTTCTTACATTGGAAAGTGACCATGGGTTGTGCCCTGATCATTGATGGTGCAGGGGTGGGAGTGCTGAGAGACATCTTCCCTGTGCTGGGCCAGCCTTCCCTTCCAAACCCTGGAGTTTTCCCATGCTGCAGCCTTTCTCCTGTTAGAGCATCAGAGTGTGGGCCTTTGTGGGCCCATGTGATGTGGTGGCTAGACCCGCCCCCTGACTTCTGAGGGTTCACTTTGTCTTTCATGTTAAGGATTCTGCCAGAAACCAGTCTGCATTTCTCTGTGGGCCCCACACTGGAATGAATTCAGATAGCAGTGAAGGGCACACGTGAGAATTGTGAATCATGGGCTCTGCTTCACGAAGTGTGAAATGTGCATTGTTTCTTCGGGAGCCGTCCTAACATCAAAGAAATGGAGAACGTTGTAGGTGGGGCTAGGAAAGCCGTATTCCTGTGGGTTACTCTAGCTGGTCACTTGCCCTGATTGCGAACTGCTTGAAAGAAAAATGGAACTTCTAAGATGTTTGTCCTTTTGTGCCCTTTCTGTTGGTGTTGTAATTGGGTGTGCATGGATGAGGCGCTTTAGCCGGCCTGCTTGGATGGGACCCCTCTCAGCGGTGTCAGCTTGGGGAGGAGGAGATGGCCTTCGAGACTAAATACTTGTATGTTTTCTTACCCTCTTAGGTCTCAGCCGTAGATCCAAGGATGCTCCAAGGAAGTCCTAAGACCCTGGAGTTCTGGGTTTGCTGATATTTCCCACCATGGTGAGTTGATGCCAAGAGCCAGAACCCACAGCCAGAGGCTCAGCTGGTCTGTGTTTACGCAGTTGGGAACCTCAAATCACTGGTCTCACCTGTCCTGTGTTTCAGAATCTCTTGGTGGTGTTTGTGGACACCAGAGGGACAGAGACTAGCGAGACCACCACATAAAGCATTTCCAGAGCTGCTCCCTGCTGCCTGCTCAGAGCACCCTGGATCCACTATTCACTTTGCACAAGATTCGGGATCCAGACATGGAAGACTTCAGGTGCCTCGGAGGACTGTGGACAGGGAAGGCCAGCCCTGCATCCCCCTGTCCATGCCTGGAATGACTTTAATAACCAAGAGTTTTACGCTTGAATTTGTAGCTGTCGTTCACTTTTTATCCACTTATTCAATAAACCTTACAGAATTGTTCCGCCTGCCTCTTAAGTCAGTGACAGCCGTGAGCCTGCAAGGCTGGCTTTGGGGAAAGTAGGCCATAGCTCTGATGATTTTTCACTCTTTGAGCCTTTCCTTTTTTTTTTTTTTTTTTTTTCTTGAGACGGAGTCTTGCTCTGTCCCCCAGGCTAGAGTGCAGTGGCACAATCTTGGCTCACTGCAACCTCTGCCTCCTAGGTGAAAGCAATTCTGCCTCAGCCTTCTGAGTAGCTGGGATTACAGGTGCCTGCCACCATGCCCGGCATATTTTTGTATTTTTAGTAGTGACGGGGTTTCACCATCTTGGCCAGGCTGGTCTTGACTCCTGACCTTGTGATCTACCTACCTCAGCCTCCCAAAGTGCTGGGATTACAGATGTGAGCCACCTTGCCTGGCTGCTAATTTTTCTTTTAAGAGACCGGGTCTTGCTACGTTGCCCAGGCTGCTCTGAAACTCCTGGGCTCAAGCTGTCCTTTTATCTTGTCCTCCCGAGTACTGGGATTGCGGGTATCAGCCACCACGCCTGGCTGATTTTTGTGTTTTTAGTAGAGAGAGGGTTTCACCATCTTGGCCATGCTGGTCTTGAACTCCTGACCTAGATGATCTGCCCACCTTAGCCTCCCAAGGTGCTGGGATTACAGGCATTAGCCACCGCACCCAGCCAATGCTGATGTGTTCTGACGGATCCATCCTGGTGGCTGTTGGTGGTGTTTTTCTCTGAATAGCTTCATTGCTTCAGGCCTCTCTGTGGTTACCTGTGGCTTCCACCTTTTCTCCCACTGCTGTTCTTTTCCTATGCTATTTTGCTCCAAACATTCTTATGATCAACTAAAGCTGGCTCTAGGACAGCACAGGCTCCAGACTCTGGCCCGGATTTGTTTGTGCCTCAGAAGTATGAGCTGTTATGGCCGTAGATGGCCATCAAGATGTCTCCTTGATGAGCAGGCAGGTCTGCTCTCAGAGGTTCCGCTGGGAGAATGTAACAGTGTTCTGGAGCTTGATCATCTCCTATCTTAGTGATCTCTCAAAAAGTCTTGCTACTCACTTGAGCACTTAGATCAAATCCTCCAGTGGCCTCTGAGAAGGTGTTGCTGGTTTGTGAGGGAGAATCGATGGGAGAGAATGGGGAGAAAGAGAAGATGCTAGGAAGTGAAATAAGAAGGAAAGAGGAAAAGATACGATAATTTAACTCAAGGCCGGGCATGGTGGCTCATGCCTGTAATCCTAGCATTTTGGGAGGCTGCAGTGGGTGAATTGACTGATGAGACCAGCCTGGCCAACATGTGAAACCCCGTCTCTACTAAAAATACAAAAAATTAGCCGTGCATCTGTAATCTCAGCTACTCGGGAGGCTGAGGCCTGAGAATCTCTTAAATCCAGAGGCAGAGGTTGCAGTGTCATGATCACACCACTTCACTCCAGCCTGGGTGACAGAGAGACTCTGTCTCAAAAAAAAAAAAAATTAATTCAACTCAAACGAGTATGCATCTGAATCACCTACGTTTGTTACGCACAGATTGCTGGGCCCCTTCCCTGAGTTTTTGTTTTGTTTTTTTTGAGACGGAGTGTCTTTCTGTCTCCCAGGCTGGAGAGTTCAGTGGCTTGATCTCGGCTCAACCTCTGCCTCCCGGGTTCAAGGGATTCTCCTGCCTCAGCCTCCTGAGTAGCTGGGACTACAGGTGCGTGCCACCACGCCTGGCTAATCTTTTTTAGTAGAGACAGGGTTTCACTGTGTTAGCCAGGACGGTCTTGATCTTCTGACATCGTGATCCATCTGCCTCAGCCTCCCAAAGTGCTTAGATTGCAGGCGTGAGCCACCACCCTTGGCCTCCGCTGAGTTTTTGATTCAGTAGATTTGGGATGGGGACCAAGCATCCTCACTTCTTTTTTGTTTTTTGAGATGGAGTCTCACTCTGTCACCCATGCTGGAGTGCAGTGGCAAGATCTTGGCTCATTGCAACCTCTGTCTCTTGGGTTGAAGCAATTCTGCCTCAGCCTCCTGGGTAGCTGGGATTATAAGCACTTGCCACCACACCCAGCTAATTTTTCTATTTTTAGTAGAGATGGGTTTTTACCATGTTGGCCAGGCTGGTCTCGAACTCCTGACCTTAAGTGATCCACCTGCCTCAGCCTCTCAAAATGCTGGGATTACACGTGTGAGCCACTGCGCTGGGGCACATTCTCACGTCTAACAAATTTCCAGGTGATGCTGATACTGCTGGTCAGAGGACCACATGAGAACCACTGCCCTCACCCCCAAACCGGTTGAAGATGATGCACCCCATCCCAGTATAATATTTTTCTCTTCATGATGGGGAGGCAGACCTCCTCTTTCCAAAATATCCTTGCAGCCAGCAGCCAGATCCATCTGTTTGTTCATACAGTAGCAAGATGTCCAACAACTCCCTAAGGAACTTAATGAGCAACTTGGATCCAATTCTTCATTGTCTGTCAGAGGAAAGGCATCCATGCTTGGTAATGAGCCTTTGGTTGCTCTAACAGGCTCTGTGGCCAGAACAAAGCACCTTGTGATCTCCCTGACAAGGAAGGAGTCTTTTATGGTGTTGGACAGAAAACCTAGCAAGTCACATTCTCCCAAATAGCACAAACTCATACCCAATGAAACGGGGAGCAATGGGTGGTCTTTCTACTCTCAGAAGGCTGTTTGTTTCCATCTTGGTGGTGTGGAGAGGGTGTGTGTCCCACAGTGTGCAAAGGCCTGGAACATGATGGCCACTGCTCCCTCTCACACCTCTCATCAGCATGTCGTGTGCACCTGCAGAGTCCTACACTGAACCAAGCATGCTGGGGTGTGTGGGCGTCAATGATGAAATGCATCCAGAACCTGCTTCTAAGCCAAGCCTGTGACACAGCTCCAGTCTACATGCCAGAGTGAAGGCTCAGGAAATGTCAGCCATGATTCTTTTTTTTTTTTTTTGAGACAAAGTCTCGCTCTGTCACCCAGGCTGGAGTGCAGTGGCACAATCTCAGCTCACTGCAACTTCTGCCTCCAGGGTTCAAGCCATTCTCGTGCCTTAGCCTCCCCAGTAGTTGGGATTACAGGCATACTTCATCTCACCTAGCTGATTTTTGTATTTTTAAATTTTTTTATTTAGTAGAGACGGGGTTTCACCATGTTGGCCAGGCTGATCTTGAACTTCTGGCTTCAAGTGATCTTCCTGCCTCGGTGTCGCAAGGTGCTGGTATTACAGGTGTGAGGCACGGTGCTCTGCCGATTCTTAGGGGTCTAATTAAGAAGAGCGTCCCATTCTTAGCCTGGGATAGAACTCTTTCGTGAAACAATTCACAACCTCCTTCTGGGAGGACATTAGCATTCCCGATAAATGCTTAAGCAATTTTCTGATAAACTTTAACAAGATTAAAACCTCTTTGGGGAAATTAGCTACCCAAACACTTGGGTAATTATTACACTTTCTTTGTCTTGTATTCAGTTTAATAATGATTATCCAGCCATTCTCTTTTCCTTTGAAATATCCTTAACAAAAGGAAACTATTGAGTTGGCTTTGTGACAAGCTTAAAATAGAACTTCGACACATGCTTATAACTAATTTTTGTGGAAAAAAAATGTAAAACAGTCATTATGGAGACAGGGCATAAAAACAGTAGCTAACACTTATTAAGTACTTGCTGCTTGTCAGATGTCATATTAAATGCCCAACAACTCTTTATAATGAATTGGGTTAAAACGCTTCTGGTTTTTTTTCTTCCCTGAGATGGAGTCTCGCTCTGTCACCCAGGCTGGACTGCAGTGGTGCGATCTCGGCTCACTGCAACCTCCGCCTCCCAGGTTCAAGCAATTCTCCTGCCTCAGCCTCCTGAGCAGCTGTGATTACAGGTGCCTGCCACTGTGCCTGGCTAATTTTTAGTAGAAACAGGGTTTCACCACGTTGGCCAGGCTGGTCTCGAACTCCTGACCTCATGATCCACTCGCCCCAGCCTCCCAAAGTGCTGGGATTACAGGTGTGAGCCACTGTGCTCAGCTAATACTTCTGTTTGACTTAAAAGATACTGATATGGTTTGGATATTTGTCCTCTCCAAGTCTCATGGCGAAATGTGATCCTGAATGTTGGACATGGAGCCTGGTGGGAGGTGTCTGGGTCATGGGGATGGATCCCTCTGAAGTGGCTTGATGCCCTCCCCATGGTAACCAGTGAGTTCTTGCTCTGTTAGTTCACAAGAGCCGGTTGTTTAAAGGAGCCTGCACCTTCTCTCCCTCTTTGCTTCCTCTCTTGCTATGTGATGCACCTGCTATTTTTTTTTTTTGCCTTCTGCCATGATTGAAAGCTTCTGAGGCCTCACCAGAAGCCGAGCAGATGCTAGTGCCATGCTTGTACAGCCTGCAGATCTGTCCAAATAAACCTCTTTTCTTTACAGATTGCCCAGTCTCAGGTATTTCTTTATAGGAAAGCAGAATAGACTAATACAGATGCTAAGAGAGGCTGAGTGACTTGCCTAAGATCAGAAAGCCAGTGATGGGTAGAGCCAGGTTTTGGATCCAGGCCTGGCTGAGTCCCCAGCGGAGCTAGCTACAGCTGCACTCTGCTTTGCTGGGGGAATTGCAACAGGAGATAGAGTGAGATAATCTGCCGGGCACGGTGGTTCACACCTGTCATCCCAGCATTTTGGGAGGCCAAGGCGGGTGGATCATCTGAGCTCAGGAGTTCGAGACTAGCCTGGCCAACATGGCAAAACCCTGTCTCTATTAAAAATACAAAAATTAGCCAGGTGTGATGGCACATGGCTGTAATCCCAGCTACTTGGGAGGCTGAGGCAGGAGAATTACTTGAACCTGGGAGGCGGAGGTTGTGGTAAGCTGAGATTGCACCATTGCACTCCAGCCTGGGCAATAGAGTGAGACTCTGTCTCCGCCCCCTGAAAAAAGTGGGATAGTGCCTGAGAAAGGGACAGTTATAGGGCTGTGGAACCGCAGAGCAGGGAGAATGTTCTCCCAGGTAGAGCGCTTGGGAACGGGACATGGGGGAAAGGATAGTCTACTGCAGAAGAGGAAGTAGGAGAGGGACTGATGGAGACAGTGAGCAGGACATGCCAGGAGCAGCTGGAGTGTGGGCAGAGGCACAGCAAAGGCCCAGTCACATGTGAAGGTGGCTGTAGAGTTCAATCGCAGCCATGGGGTCGGTCCCCGGTCCTCTGAACAGTGTGAGCCCTGCCATCCAGTGTTGTGGACCCTAGGTGCTGCTACTTGGACTTTTAAAATTACTCTGGATTCAGAGAGCACAGCAGCCCAGTTTCATCACTTACTGGCTGTGTGACCCTGAGCAAATCACTTCACACCTCTGAGCCAGAGGGTTCCTCATCTGAAAATTGGGGGTAATGATAGCATCTCCCTCATAGGATTGCTGTGAGGATTCCATGAGATAAACCTGAAATTAGCATATACCTGGCAACTACCAAGGGCTCCATGGAAAGGTGAGATATTACTGCTTTACTGTGTAATTGAATTCATGGTGGCATTATAACATTGCTTTTCAGGAGACTTGTGAAAAAATCAACTTTTCATAAAAAAATAGTTTTAGACTTTAAAAGTCACAAAAGCAGCACAAAGAATTCCTTAAAAGCTTTCACCAATTTTACAAATATACACATAAAGAAAAAACCCAAATATATAAATAGACATATATGTGCACACATAAAGATGTAACAGGTATATACATACTTCCCTCTGAACTCTTTGTGAGTCAAATGCAGACTTTTCGGCCTTTTACCTCTAAATACTTCAATGTGCGTTCTTTAAAAGCAAGGACATTTTCCTATATACAATTATAGCATAATTGTACAAATATAGTACAATTGGTATAAATTAGTACAAATACACAAACAGTACAATTATCAAAATCCTGAAATTAACATCCGTACAATGCTATTATCTAATGATCAGACCATATTCAAATTTTGTCAGTTTTCCCACAATGTCCTATATAGCAAAAGAGAGTCTCCACTCACCTCTTTTGCATTCGTTTGCCCTGCCTCTGAAGTCTCCTTAAGTTGGTAACATTTCCCCAGCCTTTCCGTGTATCTCACGACCTTGACGTTTTTTAAGAGTGAAGGCCAATCACGTTGTAGAAAGTTCCTCTTTGGGTTTGACTGGTGTTTCCTCATGGTTAGATCCAGGTAAGGCATTTTGGGCAGGAGCACCACAGTGACCTATTCAGTGCATCACAGCCTTGTGCACATTTTTGTTGACAACTTTATTTTTAAATTTTATTTATTTTTTTTACTTACTTTTTTTTTAAAGACGGGGTTTCACCATGTTGGTCTGGCTGGTCTTGAACTCTCGACCTCAGGTGATCCGCCCGCCTTGGCCTCCAAAGTGCTTGGATTACAGGCATGAGCCACTACGCCTGGCCTATTTATTTATTTTTGAGATGGAGTCTCACTCTGCTGCCCAGGCTGGAGTGCTGTGGCATGATCTCGGCTCACTGCAACCTCCACCTCTAAGCGGTTCTCCTGCCTCAGCCTCCTGAGAAGCTGGGAGTACAGGTGCCTGCCACCACGCCCGCCTAATTTTTGTGTTTTTAGTAGAGATGGGGTTTCACTATGTTGGCCAGGCTGGGCTTGAACTCCTGACCTCGAGTGATCCAACTGCCTCGGCCTCCCAAAGTGCTAGAATTACAGGTGTGAGCCACCGTGCCCAGCCCTTTAACAACTTTAACATATGGTTTCCAGATGGGAGGAGGAAGGTAATTACTGAACCACTTGCACGTGGTATCAAGTCCCTCAGGTATAAGCAATCTACTATCTCTGCATTAACCTTGCACTTATTTAGTAACTTAAATGTCCTTTGCATGTGTGTTTATCAATATACCCTGTGTGTTTAGAATTATTAGACTATGTGTGTTTATCAATACCCTGAGGGACTTGATAAACATGTGAATCTGCCAAACCCTCTGAGACGGTACTTGAGAGTGTGCCTAGGAACTTCCAGGGTTCATGTGACATTCCCAGTTGTGGCCAAAAGATGGCGCTGCAGGCTGCACTTTCAACGCAGTTCACTTTCTGGAGAAACAGGGGGCTTTGTTGAATTCAAGATCACTTCTACGAGGAGCACTTGGTACCCTCTCTTTCCTCCTGGGAATCGGGCCTTTCACCACCGCTATCTTCCTATCACTTCATGGTGACTTTTCTGGATGCCCCAGGACCTTCCAGGAGTTAGAATTCACTTTGCAATGAAAAAGTAATTGTGGTTTTGGAAAAAAAGAATAAAAGAAGACGCACTTTGCGACTCCTAAGCCAGAGATGATTCACTCCTCGAGGTAAAGAGAAAATCCCTCCCCGGTTTTCTGAGGAGCAAACCAAGAACTGTTAAAATAGTAATAGGCCTGGCACAGTGGCTCATGCCTGTAATCCCAGCCCTTTGGGAGCCGAAGCAGGAGGATCACTTGAGCCCAGGAGTTCCAGACCAGCCTGGGCAACATAGCAAGACCCCATTTCTACAAAAAATAAAATTAGCTGGGCATGGTGTGTGCCTGTAGTCCAAGCTACCTGGGAGGCTGAGGTGGGAGGATCGCTTGAGCCCAGCAGGCAGAGGTTGCAGTGAGCCAAGACTGTGCCATTGCATTCCAGCCTAGGTGACAGAGAGAGCCCCTGTCTAAAAAACAAAATAAAAAAATAAAGAGCAGCCACCATTCTTAGGGCTAAGAAAGTCTCCCCCCGTCCCAATTCCCTACCCCCATTCTTGCAAGGCTGAGATCCAGACTTTGCTGTAGAGGGCACAGCTGTGGTTCCCTGGATGGCAGAGAAGCCACTGTGGTCTTTGCTGGTAGACTCTGCTAGAAATCTGTTCCCTGGAACTTGCAAGAAAACTGTTCTCTGGTGTGAGAGAAAGTCATTCACAGAGCGGTGTCTTACCGGAGGCACTGTGCTACAAAATCGCCCAAGGCGGGGACACTGGGGGAAGTTGCTGGCCTTGTGGTGCTGCTGGCTGCCTTGCAATGCAGGACCGGCATCCTGGAGCAGCTGCCTCCATGGCAGGAGGCTGCTGAGCGACCACACCTGAATCAGGAAAAGGTGGGCTCCTGGAAAAACCCTTTAAAAGGGATTAGACTTGTCTAACTTGTCCATTTTGCACTTTGATCTTCTCTTTTTTTTTTTCTCCTGGAATGTCATAATGACTGGAGCACAGCATCCCTCTTGTGAGCATGAGGAAGAAGGCCACATTCTCAGGATGGTGGAGGGAGAAGCTAGGAGACTGGATACGTGATGTCCCACTGGTGCTCCCCTGTTAACTCTGATCTGCCTTTCTTCATATTCCTCATTAAGAAAAACAATCTCTGTCTTGACTGGGACACTTTTATTTATTTTTGGTTCCCTGAAGTTGAATTTAATTCCCACTGATAGAACTATGTTTAGTGCAAAGACTCATCTGGGTATGATTGTCATGAGATCACTTTAGCCAATAAACAGAAATTATGTGAAATCTTTTTTTTTTTTTTTTTTTTTTTGTGACTGTCTCACTCTGTTGCCCAGGCTGGAGTGCAGTGGTACAGTCATAGCTCACTGCAACCTTGAACTCCTGGGCTCAAGCCATGCTCTCACCTCAGCCACCTGAAGTGCTGGGATTACAGATGTGAGGCACCACGTCCAGCCAAAAATCACTTTTCATAGTTTACACACATTGACTTTCTTAGATGACAGGCAAGTAATGATTATAAAAACAGTATTTCTGAGCACTTTTTACCCAATATGTTTTTTTTTTTTTTTGAGACGGAGTTTCGCTCTTGTTACCCAGGCTGGAGTGCAATGGCGCGATCTCGGCTCACCGCAACCTCCACCTCCTGGGTTCAGGCAATTCTCCTGCCTCAGCCTCCCGAGTAGCTGGGACTACAGGCACGCGCCACCACGCCCAGCTAATTTTTGTATTTTTAGTAGAGACGGGGTTTCACCATGTTGACCAGGATGGTCTCGATCTCTTGACCTCGTGATCCACCCGCTTCGGCCTCCCAAAGTGCTGGGATTACAAGCTTGAGCCACCGCGCCCGGCCCCCAATATGTTTTTTAAAAGTTTAATTGATATCTAACACCTGTACAAAAATGGACAATCATATGTTGTACAGCTCAAAGAATTTTCACAAGATGGACACAAACATGTAACCACCCAGATCAAGAAATGACATTACTCACACCCTGGAAGCACCCCCTCAATCTCCCATTCAGTCAGCACTTCTACAAAGGAAACTGCTAACTGACTTTTAACGACATAGATTAATTGTGCCTATTTTTGAGTGCTACATAAGTGGCATCATATAGCATGTGGTTTTGGTGTCTGCCCTCTGTCAACATTGTTTGTGAATTCCTTCATGTCATTGCCCTGGGAAGACACCGGCCAAGCTGAAATCCTGAGGAACAGCTTGAGGGAAATGATGCATGTGAGATGAACAGGCATTGCTTTTCACTGGTGCATGCCGGGAGGAAGCAGTCCATGGCCAGGTTGAGTAGCTGCCAGCCCATCACATTCATCAGGAAGCTCATCTGCAACTCTGATACACAGAGACAAGGTTCTGTGGCCAGAAGGACGGCTGAGATTCTCTAGACAATAACTATCATTTGGACTCACAAACCTCCTGAATCATTGTAATGATCCTTTGGCACTCTGCAGAAAATAAGTTCTACCCTCTGTACATAAAAAGGCGTGTTCGGCCAGGTGCGGTGGCTCACCCCTGTGATCCCAGGACTTTGGGAGGCCAAGGCAGGCAGATCACCTGAGGTCAGGAGTTTGAGACCAGCCTGGTCAACATGGAGAAACCCTGTTTCTACTAAAAATCCTGAAATTAGCTGGGCATGGTGGCACTCACCTGTAATCCCAGCTACTCGGGAGGCTGAGGCAGGAGAATTGCTTGAACTCGGGAGGCAGAGGTTGCAGTGAGCTGAGATTGCACCACTGCACTCTGCCCTGGGTAACAGCAAGACTTTGTCTCAAAAAAAAAGAAGAGAAAAGAAAAAAAAAAATTTGTGTTCAACTTAATATGGGCCAGCCCTTTGAGTCATATTCATTATAGTATATAGGAATGTTTTATGCTTTTTTCTGGATGTCTGTAATATTTCATAATAAAAACACACATGCAAGGGACATTTAAGTTACTAAATGAAATAAGTGCAAGGTTAATATAGAGAGAGTAAATTGCTTATTTGTTCTTCTGGTAGACTGCATTATTTGTTCAAAACATTTGCAGCCACTCCATCTCAGTCCTTCCTACCGGGCTCTCCCTACAAGTCATCCTTGATGGAGGATTCTATTTCCCATGACGTTGACATTAGGTGCAGCCATGGGATTTACTTTAGCCAATGCAAGATGAGTGGGAGTGACCTGTGGTGCTCCGGAACAGAAACTTTTAAGAGCAAGAGGATGGTTCTGCCACTTCTCTTTTCCCTCTGCCAGGATAATGTCAATGTTCCAGATAACGGTTGCTCCTGCAGTCTGGATCTCAGGATGAAGAGGGCATGGGGCAGAGCTACAGCTGATGCGTAATGTGAGTGAGAAATAGGCCATGGTGGTGGGAAGGTGCTAAGATCTTGGGGTTCTTTGTTCTGCAGCATAACCTGGTGAAACCTGACTGATACACACATGGAATGTTTTCACATCATAATTGCCAGTTAAAATAAATAGAAGAGTCCTCTGGGCTAATCCTGACTTCTATAGATAAGGAGGTGAAGTGAAGACAATTAACAAACACCTAGCCTCGAGTTTCTCTTTTGTAAAAGGACTTTGGAATTAACTAGAAAAATTGGGGTAGGGTGCACTCTGACTTGTACTCATATCAAAAATCAACTTTCTGCGTGGTCAAGTATCAGATAATTTAAACTTTCTAGCCTTTTTTTTTTTTATAAGAGTAAATAATTTTTGGCTGGGCGCGGTGGCTCATGCCTGTAATCCCAGCACTTAGAGAGGCTGAGGCAGGCGGATCACCTGAAGTTGGGAGTTCAAGACCAGCCTGGCCAGAATGGAGAAACCCCATCTCTACTAGAAATACAAAATTAGCTGGGCGTGGTGGCAGGTGCCTGTAATCCCAGCCACTTGGGAAGCTGAGTCAGGAGAATCACTTGAACTTGGGAGGTGGAGCCGAGATCACTCTAGCCTGAAAAACAGAAAAACACTCTGTAAAAAAAAAAAAAAAAAAAAAAAAATTAAATAATTTAAAAAAAATAGATATTTTTGTAAAAGACACACTGTTAGGAGGAGGTAAGAATTATAACAAAAGAGCTAATAAGGTCTTGTTCAAGGGAAAGTGGAGTCATAAAATACCTCCTGGACATTAGAAATACTGGTGCTTACAAATTTGTTACAGGATCAGGAGACAGAATAAAAAGAACAAAATGGAAAGGAGAAAGTGAAACGTAAAACGTTAAAGGAAAAGCAAGGAAACTTTGAAAATGCTATATTTAATTTTTAAATTTTTAAGTTAAAAAAATTTAAATTATTTTGTAGAGATGGGATCTCACTATGTTGCCCAGGCTGTTCTTAGACTCCTGGGTTCAAATGATCCACCACCTTGGCCTCTCAAAGTGCTGCGACTACAGGCATGAGACACCTCACACAGTGAGAATACCGTATTTATATACAACTCGATAAACTCCCTGATGTTGCAGAGGAAGTGAAAAAGAACATCATTAAACCAGTAAAGCCTGGTTGCTGCTCGCCTGGAGGCTACACAGAGTCACCCATGTGAGACAGGACTGGCAGCATCTCTCTATCCTTATGACCTATGATTTGGAATCACTGTGTTCTCTCCTCACCACATCTTTTTTGTTTTTCCTTGAGATGGAGTCTTGCTGTCACCCAAGCTGGAGTGCAGTGGTACAATCTAGACTCACTGCAGCCTCTGCCACCCGGGTTCCAGCAATTCTCCTGCCTCAGCCTCCGAGTAGCTGGGATTACAGGCATGTACCACCACACCCAGCTAATTTTGTATTTTTAGTAGAGATGGGGTTTCTCTATGTTGGTCAGGCTGGTCTCGAACTTCCAACCTCAGTTGATCCTCCCGCCTTGGCCTCCCAAAATGCTGAGATTACAGGCATGAGCCACTGCCTTTTTTTTTTTTGAGGCAGAGTTTCACTGTTGTTGCCCAGGCTAGAGTGCAATGGCGTTGTCTCTGCTCACTGCACCTCTGCCTCCCTGTTCAAGCAATTCTTCTGCCTCAGCCTCCCAAGTAGCTGGGATCTCGGCTCACTGCAACCTCCGCCTCCTGGGTTCAAACGATTCTCCTGCCTCTGCTTCCCGAGTAGCTGGGACTACAGGTGCATGCCACCCCAGCCAGCTAATTTTCGTATTTTTAATAGAGATGGGGTTTCACTATGTTGGCCAGGATGATCTCTATGCGTTGATCTCCCAAAGTGCTGAGATTACAGGCATGAGCCACCACGCCAGGCAAATGTTATTTCTTAATTACATAAATAATGCAGGATATATGTGCATAAGAAACAAAAGTCAACTAAGAAAGAATAGATCAAAAAGCTTAAGTCCTCTGTATTAGTTTGCTAGGACTGACCTAACAAAATACCAGACGGGTGGCTTAAACAAGGGAAATACCTGGGGTGAGCCCCTCACAGGCCTGGGAAAGGAATTCTAGGGTTCCAGGCATATGAAGCCTGTTCTGGGAGGAGGGTGGTGGCGCTAGACGGGCATGTTCCTCTGGCGTATCCCCTGTGGGATATGGTGCATCTGGAGGGAAACTGGAGCGGGTTTCTTCAAAATCAAAGCCCAAGGCAGGGATCCTCCTGACTTCTGTCTAACGATGATACGGCTATCAAGTAGTTATTCATGGGTACATTTCAGACTCCTTTACATCAATTTCGTATAAAAATTAGAGTTCTAATTTCAAAATAAGATTTTCTATTAAAAATGGATTCTCTATTTTTATGAAATGTGCTTTTAAAAATTATGTCTTGTAGATCTTTTTGTGTCAGCATATATAGTTCCACTTTTTCTTTTCAACGATTGCATGATATTATACAGTATAAAGGGGAGAAAAAGAATTATAAAACCATATTTAACACAATTCAATGTTAGTCCCCTTGAAAAGTAACTTGATTTAAAATGGAAGTAAGCTTAAAAAATGCAAATTAGCAAAATTGACTCAAGAAGAAATAGAAAACCTAAACAGATTGATAACTATGGAATTAGTTGAGGAAGCCATCCAAGAGGACTTCCTAGTTTCTTTCAATAAGGTAATTCCAAAGCTCATCAAACTTCCAGAGCATAGAGAGAAATAAGATGAACTGCCTAGTTATTTTTATGAGGCTACAAATATGCAAACCTGACAAGATAGCAAAAAGAAATTCACAAGCTAATTTCATCTATGAATATTGAAGCAAAACTTTTCTATAAAATATTAATAAATGGAATCTAGTCATATAGTAAGAGAATACATAATTATAGTCAGATGGTGAGAGGTTGACACATAAAAATCAGTCATATTTCTG